CTCTCCGATACGGATCCTGCAGTAGAAAGCCAAATTCTGATCATCTTCATTAATTAGCAAGTCCTGTAAGTCCTGAGTCACATAATTGCTTCCCTCGTTAAACAACTTGTAAAAATAAGCCTCCCATCTGTCCTTAATATCACCATCAGTAACTAACACTTTACCATCTTCATCCTTTATACACTTTACTTGGTCCAAATCTCTCTTTTTCCTCTCCCTTTGCTTCGCAATCTTGTAAATATTTCTTTCTCCCGTCTTTGTTCCTAACTCCTGATAAAACCCTTCATAAGCTTTAGTACGTGCTTCACTCACTGCTTTCTTCGTCTCTTTTTTAGCCAACTAATACTTTTCTCAGTTTTCTACACTATTGCACAAGTGTGTGGCCTTAAAACAATCTCTTTTCTGTTTGACTTTCTCTTGCACACTCTTATCCCACCACCAAGTCTCCTTATCTCTCTGCCCAGGACCTTTGGATTCTCCCAAAATTTCTTTACCTACCAAACGAACCCTTGTAGCTATCTCTTCCCACATCATGTTTGCATTTCCCTGCGACTCCCAAATCCCTTCCTCCACAAGGGTCCTTTTGAATAACTCTCGTTTCTCACCCTTTAACTGCCACCACCTAACCTTGGGTTTTACCACTTGATGGTACTTTTGCCTGGTACTCTTAAAACGTACATAAAGAATAAGTACTCTATGTTGGGCAGTCACCCCATCTCCTGGAATCATTTTGCAATTAGTACACAATCTTCTGTCTGGATTCTTAACCAAAAAGAAATCAATCTGTGATTTTGAGACACCACTTTTGTACGTGATTAAATGCTCCTCTCGCTTCTTAAAACAAGTGTTGACAATCTTAAGATTATATGCAAGAGAAAAGTCGAGAATAGATTGTCCTCCACTATTAAGCTCCCCAAAACCAAAACCACCATGGGCCCCATTGAATTGTCCTGCTTCCTTACCGACATGTCCATTAAGGTCCCCACCGATAAAAAATTTTTCTTCGAGTGGTATGCTTTGAGCCAACCCCTCCATATCTTCCCAGAACTTATCTTTAAGGTGTGTCTCTGCCCCAACCTGAGGTGCATAGGCACTAATGATATTGATAGTATCTTTTCCAATAATTACTCTTAACGATATTATTCTGTCCTCAAACCTTTTAACCTCTACCACGTTTCTTTTCCATATTCCATCAACGATAATACCAACCCCATTCCTTGCACTCACCTTTCCTGTATACCAAAGTTTATACTCTCCAAGTTCCTTGGCAGCTTCTCCAGTCCATTTGGTTTCTTGGAGGCACAATATATTAATCCTTCTATCTCTCATAACTCCTGCTACTTCCATAGATTTCTCATTCAGCGACCCAATATTCTAAGTGCCAAATCTAATCTCAGTCTCATGAACTAACTTCTTTAGCCGCCTCCGTCCAAGAGAGTGCGGTAGCCCTTGCTCATTTAACACTACATCCGGGCGATGATGCAGCGGCTCTAGCTCATTTCTCACTGTACTTGAGCCATACAGCGCGTCACTTCTGGGCAACAACCTAGCATTAGCGTAATTACTTTGTTGATCCATGTTCATGAGATTCGATGGGTTTTTACGTTGGTTGTCGAGGGCCTAACACAACCCTCCTCCTTTATCCGGGCTTGGGACCGGCTATACAATATAGGCGGAGTTAATTACTACAAGGACTACTTTGGAAAAAAAAAAAGGAACAAATATGAGAGACTAAATGGATTGGGATATTATTTTTAAGACCAAATTAAAAGTCAAACTAACTCTTTTATCAAAGACTAGAGGTAGTAAGTATAAACAGGAGACAAGAGTTTGATATGCAATGAATATAGTTTTGGATTAGTCTGGGAAGGTATGAACAAAGAAGGAGATAATGCATTTACGGTGGAAGAGGAGTTGTTGGAGTCGTTAAATGCAGGTGAAGGAAGAGAGGTAAGGATTATGATGTTGAAACGAGACATTTGGTTAATGTAATTGATGCAAAGAAGTATGTGGTTTTCTTAATGGTTGTGATTGTTAGAGAAGGTGGGTACAAGTTGCCAAATAATGGGCAGAGTTGATTCATGCATCTCTACTGCTCCTGAAAATGGTTGGTGAGTCAAGCAAGGCAGATTGAAAGATGATTGGTCACAGTAGTGAGATTTGTGAGGACGGTGCATGGTTAAAGCCAAATGGCTCCTCATGCTATTGGACTGCCGACTTAACATGTTTGGCAGTTAGTAGGACCCGACACCCTCTATGTCCTAACATTATTGCGCCATCATTCTTTTATCACCCTTCTTCTTCTGCTGCCTCATACTGTAATATAAGAATGTTTGCCTCTGCCCGTCACCTTATCACCCTCTCTGTTTTCCTCTTTAAGGTCATGGTAGAGAGTAGAGGAAGTTATTGGCTCATCTTCAAGTTATTGTCTCCATTTGAAGCTTCTAGATTTTTTTATGCTTTATTTCAGTTTTTTCAACGACTTGAAAAGATTTGTGTAGATCAGCGCACTTGATCTAAATCAACATAGTACTCCTGTCCTAAATATAAGACTCTTATACACACTAGTATGGAGGTCTTATATTTAGGACCGAAGGAGTAATATTGATCAGTGCAATTTATTTTTGCACATTTGATAAACATATGATATTGGGCGCACTTTGAAAAAAAGTTTATAAGTATTTTTGTAAATTTACTTTTTATATTTTTTGAATGGCATGTGTCCCACTATAAAAAGTAATCATACTTTATGTTATTTTAGTAGTTGTATCATTTTCACTCTAATTTTGCATTTGTGCTACCTTTTTTATTGCGGGTTCTATCTTCATCAACCATTTTTTCATTGTAGGTTGCGTATCCACTTTTTCATTAGAGCTTTACATTATCCTTTATTCTTTTTTACTAAGTTAAAATTGGAATATGCTATGTAAAATAAAACTAAAACCAAAAGAAAATAAACATTGGATGGGTGCACATCCGACCAAAATTATAAAGGAAAGAAATTTTACTAAAATATTTATTAAAATATTATGCTATTTTCTGTTTAAGATTCATTAAATTGACGACAAAGAAAGCATTGATGTTATATTATGAGAATAAAAGAGTGTTTGGATGGAATAAAAACTATGATTTTAAAAGTACTTTTACAGTGTACGAAATAAATATGTGGAAGAGTTTGTCTCGTTTTGCGAAAAAGTGTCTCAGAGAAGCACTTTTGAAAGCACCCACTAAGTTAATCATTTTAAACACCAACCTGCATTGATCTCGGTGAAAGAGGTTTTAAACGCTTAAATATGAGATGTTGAGTTTAATTTGAGTTCATGTGAATATTTAAAAAAAAAATCTTTTAGAGAGTTACTTTCAATTTGGCCTTCTAGATAGTCATATAAACGTTTTTAACATAAACTTCAATTAAGAAAAATAATTTTAGAATTTATTACCAAAACATTATTAAAAATTTTTGAAAAAATATATTAAAATTAAGGTTGTGAAAATATTTGAAAGATTTTTGTAATTTTAGCAAAATTGAGGTAGATCAAGTGTTATACTGAAAAAATTGATGTTGATAGTCACACATCATTTGATGACAACTACTAAAGAAGATTCACAAAAGGTAACCACTTTAAAACAGACAAAAGAGATGAACAATTCTCACAGTAGTGATAGAAAATTTTTTGTATTCTATTTGAAGTAAACGTTAGGGTCAGGAATCTTTTACTTTTCTTGTGTCGAAAAATTTGTTCATAATTTGAAAAGGAATTTGGCAAGAGAGGAGTGGAGAAGAAAATTCCATGATTCTTTCTTTGTCCTAATCGATTTGTCCCATCGTATAGTGATAGTAGAAGAAAATTTCTATTTAATTTTCCTGACATTCATATAAGACATTATCTATATAAATATTCTTATGATTATATTTAAACACAATATTCATTTAAAATTATTTTTGTTGTTGTTTTTAAAATATTTTAATTAGTTAAAAAGGAAAAAGGTTATACATGCATTTTTGGTTTGTTCGGGATGAAAATATTGTGAGATGAGGAAACTTTTATTTTTTTTTAATGTGAAAAAGTTTTCTGTTAAATTTGAAAAGAGCTTTGAAAAATAAAAGAAATGATGAGTCAAGAACCCTCCACACAAGTTTCGTATGGTTAACTCGTATGAAAAAAGTTTGCCAACTATGTTTTTACTTTCCCAAATTTGTAACCATGCATCTAACATTATAAATATAAATATTAATTGAGTAAATTTATTCATGACAATTCGACTAATTTGTCTGTAGGAAATCTTATGAAGTCCAACACTTGTATAAGAAACTCTTTGGATCCAACAAACAAGTTAGGTAGGGGAGTCATTTGTAATTATCATGGAAGGGACAATAGAAAACTTCGTGCATATTCACTCATTTTTCATGAAATTTGAAAAAGAGTTTATTATAAGAAAGAATATATGAACTTTTTTTTAATTAAAATCAATTATAATATTTATGAAGATCTATCAATTAAATTTTATTTATTAACACTTAATTAAATTGTCAAAGGCAGATTCTTCAAGAGTTATCACTCGTATATATATAAAAAGTATAAACACCTTACCTATAAGAAAAAAAAAAGGTGCATATGTAAGAATATATTGTATATGAAGATTAGTTGTACTGTTCCTTTAAATTATTTTCATCAATTTATACGTCTGTATGTGATTTGCTAATAATAGCAATAGCGTTTTATAACTTTTACAGTCATATTTGGAGACGAATATAACAATTAAAATTACTTAAATCCATGATTTTTTAAGGAAATGGTGAGACCTATGAGGCTATAACTTTGCATAAATAATAAAGAATTATGGATACCTTTTACATACATAATCGTCTCAAGCTTCACATCTCACTGTCATCGTGTATTGACCAAGACGCCTATCGAATGAACGCTTTGCTAGGAAGTCATTCACTGTTATGTGAAAGTTTTGCTTAAACCCCCACTTTCTAACACTATAAATACCAGTAATTTTGCACAGAGTTGTAAGCCAGCTATAGTAAAGAAACTAATCAAGGGTATACGCGAAAATACCATTGTGTTCATTTTGGTTTGCTCACTCACCTCATCACTAGATCCCTTATGCAAATGCAAAGCATCTGATCAAGTTCTTTGCATTCCTAGTGAGCGACAAGCCCTGCTTAATTTCAAGCAACATCTTCATGATCCTTCAAACAGGCTTGTCACTTGGTCTGATGATAACACAAATTGCTGCAACTGGACATCAGTTTCTTACAATCATGAAACAGGTCACATTCTTGAACTTCACCTCTCAACTTCAATTACTTGCTCGTATGGGGGTTATGAGGTTTCTGAGATATCAAGGTTTGGGGGGTGAAATACACCCTTCGATACTTCAGTTGAAAGAACCAAGTTACTTGGATTTGAGCAGCAACTATTTTGGAGGCATGCAGTTTCCAAGTTTCCTTTGTTCAATGAAGAGCTTGACATATTTAAACCTCTCTTATGCGAGGTTCAGTGGAAGCATTCCACAACAAATAGGAAATCTCTTTGGTTTGCTCCATCTTGACCTTGGAGGTAATTCTTTTACTGGAAAGATTCCCCATCAAATTGGTAATTTATCAAATCTACTCTATCTTGATCTCTCTGGTGGTCATCAATATGACGAGGATGGGATATCAATGTATGAAGAAAATCTTTAGTGGATATCATCTCTTTCGTCATTCCAATATCTTCGATTGAGTTTTGTTAATCTGTCTAACGCCTTTGATTGGTTGCCTGTTTTGCAATCTCTTCCCTCGTTGACAGAGTTACACCTATAAGGGTATGCTCTTCATCACAATTTCCATCCAGCCATTGCCATAAACTTTTCATCTTTAACAATCCTTGACATTTCCTTCTCTTTTGATTTTGGATTTCCTTCCATTCCAAAGTGGATTTTTCGGCTAAAGAATTTGGTTTCGCTTAAATTAAGAGATAATTATTTGCAAGGATCCATCCCAAATGGTATTCATAACCTCTCTCTCATTGAAGATCTTGATTTGTGTGAAAATTTGTTTAATTCTTCTGTCCCTGATTGCTTATATACTTTGAACCATCTTAAGTCCCTTGATCTTTCTAGAAACAATTTACATGGAAGAATTTCACTTGCAATTGGAAACTTGACTTCTATGGTTACTCTTGCTTTGTCAGACAACCAATTGGAAGGGCCATTTCCAAACTCTTTAAGAAATCTCTATAACTTAAGAAGTGTTGATCTCTCTAACAATAACTTCAGTCAACAAGTTTCTGGGTTAATAGAAATAATCTCTAATTGTGCTTCTCGCACACTCAAGGTTTTGTCAATTAGTAGTTCAAAAGTTTATGGTAATTTGACAGCCTAAATTGGGATTTTCAAAAGTCTTCGTGACCTTTCTATCTTTAACAATTTTATTCAAGGTGCAATTCCTATATCTTTAGGAAAACTTACCTCTTTGAAATATCTTAAAGTTCGGGGAAATAAATTTGATGGGAATCCTTTTGATGTTTTGCAATCACTTTCTGAATTAGAATATCTTGATATCAGAGATAATCTTTTCCATGGAATCGTAAATGAACATCACCTCGCCAATTTCGCTAAATTAAATTATTTCATTACATCAGGAAACAGACTAACTTTAAAAGTAGGTCCCAATTGGAAGCCATCTTTTCAAAAGTTGATCTCCTTGGACATGGCCTTATGGCATTTAGGTCCCCTTTTTCCATCATGGATTCGATCACTGAAACATCTTAGGGGATTGTCCATACCTAACACCAACATCTCTGATTCTATCCCCACATGGCTGTGGGATGCGTTCCCCTATGCTTCTTATTTTGGTTTCTCTAACAATGATATCCATGGAGAGCTTTCTTATACTTTGAAGAATCCCGTCAATGTCCACACCATTGATTTAAGCTCAAATCGCTTAAGTCGTCCTTTACCACACATATCACCAATTGTGGAATACTTAGACCTCTCAAATAATTGGTTTTCTGGATCCATGGCCTCCTTCTCATGTCAGGAAAAGGAACAGCCAATGACGTTAGAATATCTCAATTTAGTATCAAATAATTTGTCAGGTGAAATACTTGATTGTTGGAAGATGTGGTCAAATAATCTAATGATCGTCAAGTTTGATAATAACCATTTCAATGGGAAGTTGCCCACATCCTTGGGATCCTTACCTTGGTTGTACTCATTGCAACTCCGTAACAACTCTCTTTTAGGAAATTTTCCTGTTTGTTTCAAGAATATTACTAAATTGGTATTTTTGGATCTTAGAGAGAATCAATTTTCAGGAATCATTCCACCATGGGTTGGAGACATTCTCTTAAATTTGAAGATCTTCCTCCTCAAATCAAACCAATTTAATGGTAAGATTCCCAATCAAATATGCTCTTTGAATTCGCTACATATATTGGATCTTGCACAGAACAACCTGACAGGACAAATACCAAAATGCATCAATCAATTGAGTGTTATGCTAGTAAAGAATACCACTCTAGAGTCAGACATCTATGGCGAAAGAAATGGAACTTCTCTATCTATAACTGATGTGCTTCTAGAGCTGAAAGGAAAAGATGATGTATATACTTGGCTGGGCCTCTTCACAAGCATAGATCTCTCTGGTAATAAATTATGTGGGGAGGTACCAAGTGAAATTACATCTCTCAAGGGGTTGCATTTCCTGAACTTGTCAAACAATCTTTTGAGTGGTAAGATTCCTCAAAATATTGGAAATATGGAATGGTTGGAGTCAATGGATCTCTCAGAAAATCAGCTGTATGGTGAAATCCCATCAAGCATGTCCAATTTGAATTTCTTGAGCAAATTGAACTTTTCATTCAACAATGTGATGGGGAAAATTCCAACAGGCACTCTATTACAAAGCTTCAAAGCATCAAGTTTTGGGCAACAATCTCTATGGTCCTCCACTACCAAAGAATTGTGATGATTTGCAGAATATCCCAAGCCGTCATGATGACAAAGAAGGTAAGAGAAATGGGGTCAATTGGTTTTATGTGAGCATGTCTCTGGGATTTGTTTCAGGATTTTGGATAGTTGTTGGTCTTTTACTCTACAGTAGATCCTGGAGGTATACTTACTTTCAGTTCATAGACTGCATGTGGTACAAACTTTGATATTGTTGGTGGTGAGAAGGGGAAAAAAGGAGTTGTGTGATTGTAGTTATGGCTTATTACAAGCATTTTTATGTTGTTGCTTCTGGTTATCGTTAATCACTTGGGCTTTTGAATAATATAAGCCTTGTTGGGATTATGCTTTCTAGCAAGAATGTGTACTATATATATATGTTTGATAATGTATTGCTATATTGAAGAAAGGGTCTCTGATTTGTTCGTTGCTTCTTGGCCAAAGCTATAGTTGAGAATAATAGCTTCTTGGAAAAAAAAGATAAAGTAAAATAAAAAAAATAAGTTAAAAATTGACATAAGGCATATTAGGACGTTGGGCATATTAGGACGTTGGACATAGGTGGTCAATCTACTAACTTTCAGTTTATTTTTTATAATTTGAACAAAAAGGTTATATATATATATTTTATAGAAGCACCGTAGCAAGCGAATGTAGAAAAAATTAAATTTCAATTAGGATTTAAAAAGAAGTTCAAAACATATCTAACCTCACTAGGTGGCAAGTGAGGTGTGTATTTTAAATTACATCCCCCTATTTATTGATTCGTTCGTTGAGTAAGTTGATCTTTTCCATCATTATTTTGATGCTTTTTTTAATCTCATTTGGATAAAAAAAATATATTTGAAAGTTTAAATTAATTTATTGACTTAAAATTATTGTTTTCATATTTAACATGTTATGGTCAACTTCATTATTTTATCCCTTAATTTTATTGAAAACTTTAATTAATTTCTGAACTGGCATTTTATCAAAATAATCCATGAATTTATATTGCATCTTATTTTTTATATGTTTAAAGTTACATATGTTTGCCATCTAATGATGCTACTTGAACAGTAAATCCAAATGGCATATGAATGCGCACCACTTATCACCGGGGAAAAAAAAAGAATACCACAGTCAAAATCCAAAACGAAATTTAAAGATTACTTCCAAATAAGAGAATACATCAAACTATGGTTTAAATAAATCTTTGTTGGGAGAGCTATCTACATTTAGTGTTTAACAATGCCTCAAAAAGATTGCTTCCAAATAAGAGAATACATGTCCTTGAAACAAAATATTTTAGAATTGTTATCAAAATATTATTAAAAATGTAAAGAAATTATTAAAATTAAGGCTGTGAAAATATTTGGACGACTTATGTAATTTTAGAAAAATAATCCAGATGAAGTCTTATACTAAAAATATTAATGTTGGTATAGAAGAAGACTTACAAAAAAGTGTAGATTTTAAAAAGGACAGAAGAGATGAGGAATTACCATAGCAGCAATAAAAAAAAAATTATTTCAGTAGAAGTAAACATCATGGCGAGGAATCTGGTACTTTTTTTGTGGGGAAAAAGTTGCTCATAAAAGGGATGGAGAAGAAAATTTCATGATTCTTGTTGTTTGTGTTGAATACTATTTTGCTTTTAGTTAATAATTATATTTGACATAACAACTAATGGATTACGAAGCATTTATTAGTAGAAATTATTTTTGTCCCAAATAAAAACAAGAAGAAGAACAAGAGAGTATATACGTAAAAATACTTTTCTGATTATATTTAGAAATACTATTCCTTTAAAAATATTGCTGTGAACTTTTTAAAGTATTTTAGTTTTAAAAAAAACTTATATATATTTGTTTTATCTAAGGTGAAAATCATTGCTGTGAATATTTTTCAAGTATTTTAGTTCAAAAAAAACTTATATATATTTGTTTTATCGAAGGTGAAAATCAAGGTACTAAAAATGGGACCAGTTGAGGCAAAAGGTCAATGATCAATGGGTCAGACCAGAGTCAACCAAGGGTCAAACGTGTAAGAAATAAAAAATTGAAAAACAATTTAAATTTTCATCATACCACCTAAGGACTAAATATTAGTTCATTACCTTGAATTACAAACAAAATAATCACATACTTACAATTTTGATCTTCTTTACAATTTCTTTGACAAATTCACATCATAGTATCATATTAAAAAGATAACTTTATATTAATCCTAGTAAAATATCAAACTAAATATAGGATAACAAAATATTCCTACCTACAGTTTATTAATCACTAAACTAATAATTATCAATAGCGACTAAACTAATAATTATCAATAGCTTAAACTACTATTATGCAACATTCCATGTGCATATCATTTGCCATGTAAAAAGAACAATTCATCAAGCCATCAAACCATTCCTTTTACATGTTGACAAGGCATATTCAACATGTAATTTCATGCATCATCACATATATTGCTCAATCACATTATGGCACCACGAATAACATAACACATACACATTTAAACAAGTACAAAAGCAATCAAATTATAAGTTTAATTCTACCTCCTGGTTAATAATTCAATTCAGCCTCTCTAGGGAATTGGTGTCCCTCTTTGATCTCTTGCAATGTGCCTATTATTCCAAGCACAAATACATTTCAAATTACCAATCATTCAAGCATAAACACAATAATCTAACATTAGCCTCAATTAACATCCCTTTTTCCTTCATTTTTGACCAAATTATTCTCTCTTTGTTTCATCTAATCTCTTGGGCCATTCGTATGCAATTTTTCATGTAGAATTTAAATATCAAATCAGATTTCACAAAATCATACTCCTTCCTCTCTAGTTAGACTTGGCCAAATTGGGGTATTGTTTTTTCAAAAATTTCATTTTTGATTCCAATAATTCTAAACACTTTTCTTTGGTATATCCCTACATAAAAACACCTTTTAAACTCATTGAAATCAACAAATCACATTAAAAAACTCCTACTCCTAGATTACATAGTGGCTGAATAGGGGTGTTAAAACCCTAACTTTGATTTCTTCCAAAATTCAATCCAAAAATTTCAAGCTTATATTCATGGTCTCTATCTTTCCTTAAACCATTCTTGGCCTAACCAAAATTTGGCAGCATCATAACATAAGAATTATCATCAAAATAACCCTTGAATCCAACCAAAATCAGTTTATACATACCTTGATGGATCCTACTTGGAGCTTGATAATTTTTCTTGGATTTAGAAGGTATTTGGAGCTGTTTGGAGGTGATTTTTGATTTTGGCAGAATTTCCCCTTATTTCTCCCAAGTTGGCCTAATATATGCATAAATGAAGGGATATTTATAGGCTCAAAAATCTGATCCCTTTCCTTTAATGTGGTGCCAGATTTTGCCACCTAAAGGGGCTATGTGGCTGCCATCCAAAACTTCAATTTTTGTGATCATGCAAGTGTCCCAATTCATGATTTTTCATAGATCTTTTACCTTACTTGGAGCTCAAGACACCTTTAACCTTGGGCCAATATTTGCAAAAATTTTCTGGGCATTCTTGACCCTGTAAGAATGGCTGAACACCCAAGAGGGGGGGTGAACTGGGTGTTAATTAAAATTAAAAACCTTTTCGCAATGTAATGAAATTCATAAGAAATTCTGAGTATAAAAACAATGAATCGACATAAGCATAATCACAATAGTAAAATGGTTTAGCTGGAAATATAAAAAGGTAAGGGAAGAGAAGATGCAAACTGTGATTTATTCTGGTTCGGTCCTCACTGACCTACGTCCAGTCCCCAGGCTCCCCCTGAGATTTTCAATCAACTATCTCCCTCAAGTTTAACACGGGTAGTTGAGAACCACTACAACCACAAGTTTGATTCGGGCACTTGTGACGCCACTTACAACTCTTAGACTAATTAGTCTATTCAGCGGCAACCTCACACCGAGGTAAATACTCCCCCTTACTCACCGTAAGGATACAATCTAATAATGATAATGAAGATTGAATATTTCTTCTCTCAAAGAAGTGATAGATGAATCTTAAGCACATTTTAGGAAACTCTCCTCTCTATCTTACGGATACATATGTTTTCGTCTATGGAGCACAGAGACAGGGAGTTTTCTTTCGGAGCTCTAAATGAGAATATGTTGATTCGGCATTTTAGCATTTGATGTTGTAAGCTCGGACTCTTCTCCTTTTCTTGTTTTGAATGCTCTTTATTTATAGATGATGTTGGGTAGTTGACCGTTGAGCTTTTTCTTCCCGTTGGCTTGAAGAATATGACCGTTGAAACTAGCCGTTGGAAGCTTCTGACGAACGTCGATTCTTCACATCATAAATTCGTTGTGGCTCTTTATCTGAAATAATCTTCCTCAGATCAAGTGATAAGTATCTGATAATCATAGAAACAATAAGTTGGAAAAACATGGAATCAATCATCAGATATTCAGAAAGTAAGATGAACTTACTTGATCGATGTCTTGATCGATAAAGCTTTGATCGATTATATTATCGATTAATTACATGAAGAAAAGATATAGCAGATAGATGCAATTATCGAATAGATTATGGATCATATGATGATCGAACAAATGATCGATAAATGATGAAGCATGAATACAGTGACCCAAAAATGATTTATGCAAGAATAAACCTTTTCAAGTTACGCTTGTCTTCGTATCCTTTTAATAGAGAGTTATGTGTTAAAAAGGAAGGCTGAGAAAAGCTTGAAGATAAAAAGATAAAAGATTTCAAATCATCGTGAATGCTGTTATGAAATGAATTTGTACAATGATCGAACAAGTGATCGAATACTTGTTGATTGAACAGATTATCGATAATCCAAGTGTTACAAAAATGAAACTTCAGTCATTGATGATCGAACACATTATTGATAAATGGATGATGGATAAGGTTATCGATAAAAAATGAGTAAGAATATATTCAGTGAAAAATACAGACTATATGGATTAATCGAACAGGTGATTGATCAATGAATATTCGATCAAGTGATCGATAAAATGAAAAACAGAGAT